TGATATCGAGGCAAAGGATGTCGCCTTGGTCGACAAGGACGATCAGAGAAATAAAAAGAATCGTCTAAATTTGAAATCACTTTTTACATTGACAAGGCTTAGTAGAAGAAGCAACATTACAATAAATCTATGTCAGCTTACAAGTAGCAAAAGCAAGATGATGAAAAGAGCAACAAAGAAACATCTAAAAAGTTGAGTAAGATTGTTGTAAAAGATGCAAAGTCAAAGAAGCAACAGAAGTACAAGAAGTTCACAAAAGCATTAAAAAATCAAACTAACCAAACATGTTACCAACTAACTCCTTTATCTTTCTTGCTGAATTTGTTTAAGGAATATCAACTTGAGACAAAGCATGTTGTTGTGGTTGGCAAAGTCGAAGGAAATAATTGGAAAGACATGTCTAAATTCTAGAAGGCTTTCTACATTGATAGGGTTCAAGAGAAAAAACAATAGTACGATAAGTCTATGTTAGCTTACAATGAGCAAAAGGAGGACTATGTACAAAACGACAAGAAAATATCTAAGAAATTGAGTGAGGATGTTGTGAAAGACGCAAAGTCAAAAAAGCAACAAAAATCAAAGAACTGCATGAAAGCTATCAAGAACCAGACCAATTGACTTCTTTATCTTTCATGATGAGTTTAAGAAGTGATTTAAAAAATATTATATCAAGACGAAGGTTGTTCCTTGGTTGTCAGGTGTCTTTGTATTTATTATTCAAACAACATGGTTGACAAAGCCGGAGGAGAGAAATAGAAAGACATGTCTAAATTTGAGAAGGTTTTTTACATTGACAAGATTCTATAGAAGAAACAAGAGTATGATAAGCATATGTCGACTTACAACAAACAAAAGCACGACAATAAAGCTATGTCAATTTACAACAATTAAAAACACGACAATGAAGAATACGATGAGAAAACATCTGAAAAATTGAGTGATTATGTTCTAAAAGACGTAAAGTCAAGAAACAACAAAGATCCAAGAAGGTCACGAAAGCGACCAAGAATCAAATCAACTGAAGAGTTCATCAAATGACTTCTTCATCTTTCTTGATAAGTTCAAGATGTGATTGAAGGAAGATCCTTTTGAGGAAAAAGATGTCATTGTAGTTGGCAAAGTCAGAGGAGAGAAATAAAAAGACATGTATGTTTTTGAGAAGATTGCTACATTGACAAGTCTCAATAGAAGAAGCAAGAGTAAGATATATCTATGTTAGCAACAAGTAAAAGCAAGAAAATGAAAAAAACAACAAGAAAACACATGACAAATTGAGTAAGTCTGTTATGAAAGACGTAAAGTCAAAGAAGTAATAAAAGTACAAAAAGTACACGAAAGCTGACAATAACCAAATCAAACAAAGAAATCATCAATTGACTTCTTCATCTTTCTTGATAAGTGTATGAAGTAGTTTAAGGAAGATCATATTCATACAAAGGATGTTGAAGTGGTTCGCAAAGCTAGAGGAAATAATTAGAAAGATATGTTTGAATTTGAGAAGGTTACATAAATTGACAAGGCTCAACAGAAGAAACAAGAGTACGATAACTCTATGTAAGCTTATAACAAACAAACACACGACTATGAACATGACAATGAGTGATTACATAAAAGATTGAGTTAGGCGGTTGTGAAAGACTCAAATTCAAAAAAGCAATGGAAATCCAAGAAGTTCACGAATGCTACCAAGAACCAAACAATTCAAAGAGTTGATCAACTGACTTCTTCATCTTTGTTGGTGAGTTCAAGAAGTCGTTTAAGTCAGATCATTCCAAGGCAAAGCATGTCTCTCTGATTGGCAATGTCTGAAGAGAGAAAATGAAAAACATGTATGAATTTTAGAAGGTTTACTAAATTGACAAGGCTGAACAGAAGAAGCAAGAGTATGATAAGTCTATGTTAGTTTACAACAAGCAAAAGGAACATTTGATAAATCAAGTGAGGTTGATGACCTCGTGATATTGATATTTACAATTTTTTGTGGCTTATTATCATCTTATAAGATATTATTTAAAAATCTATTCATTATTGTGAAACTTTAATATATACTATGATGATAAATCAACATAATATATAAACGATTAAGGAAGTGAGTGTTCTTCCCAAGTTCAATTGTTGAGCATGATTTGGCTTCTTTAGATTGCAAGGTGGAGCACCAGATGGACGGAAATCATCGATAACACTCTGGTGACGATATACCGTCATCTGCGTACGATTGCAAAGGTCGCAAATGTCTACATACGATCACGCATCAACTTTTACTCAATAAGCCTAAAAAGTGTATCATCTCCAGAAAAGTATGTTTGATGTGGATTTTTCTGGACTTGGATAGAGCTCGAAAGATATGACCGACTGCTGCCGATCTATGTGATCAATTTATCTGATGTCATATTTGCATAAAAGCTGGAGATGTTTGGCTTGTGCCAGTAGATTCCACCTGAAGGTCTAGCACTGGATCTGAGCCGCTTCGGCGGAACTTCGAGTCATGGACTGTACACGATATTGTTTGCATCGCGGCGTCTCTGCGTTCGTTCTTCGTTTCGTATGCTCAACATGTAGCCCATGGTAGACAAGGTGTAGAGAGTCGAGAAGTATCTGCTGAGATTTTTAATATATGCACCTATGATTGTAGCAACAAAATATCCATCTTGAAAGTTCCATCGTCATATTATCTCTGTCCTTCGATAGAGATGTGGTGTCCTTCATTTGTCTAGACAAAGAGCAAGTTTAGTGTTGTTCTCTTCTGTTTGAATTTCCTCAATTGCATGCCGAGTTCTTCTAGATCTGCTAGTTTGTCAGGTGACCGAGATACACATGAAGGTTTCGGCTCTTATCTGGAACCTTAGGCTTGCCAAAAAACAGACTTGACTCTTAACAGTAGGAGGTCCAGAAAAAATTCAACGAGGTCAAACTGTGATTTGTCGTAATCCTCCTATTTCGAGAGGTACAGCCAAAACGAAAGGCGAGGCCTCTTTGCTGCCACTTTCAGTGTCACAAAGGTCAATTTGCCAATGCACGGTCACATGACAATGGATGCGACCAACGCATTAAAAACGATGTCTTGCAACTACCCGTACAGATCCAGCTGCTTTCCTGTGGATGGGTCCATCGGGCTTTGGGCTGTAAGCCAGCATCTCACGTCCTATGCATACCATATCTATTACCCACCCTTTCTCTATACACTACAGTCTACGTTACCATGACATGGGCTGAAGTTCCTGATTTTCCTCGGTGGAATTGGAGAGTTTGTCTCGAGAATTTGACTTATTGTACCTTTCGTATACTGTCGACGAGTGATGCAGCGTAGTTGGTGACAGAATAAAGATATTAACGAAAGTTGTTGTACAGTCATCTGTAATCACATTAATATGTTTGTTATCATAGAAAACAATGATATAAGTAAACAATGATGACTCTTCAAATGACCTTTTCTTTTAGTCCAAATTACTCTTCAGTTTGAGATTCTAGATCCATGCGAAGAAGTCTGCTTTTTCCGACTTCATTATCAAACTGTATCTTTGCCTTGCATTCACCGGATCTCTATCTGTTTCATTGTCATCCTTTGCCTTAAACCCTTCACAATTACCGAGTTATAGAATTCATATCTTATGGTTTCTACAGGCATATGACAAAATTATGTCCCTATTTCCTTTGGTATTCGCATTCCTTCTTTGCGACTTCTATATCACTACTTTGAGAGTGATCATTCAGATTTATGCTTATAGAGATTGTTCCGATGAAAGAAGAGATTTCGACCAGGATTTGAGTATGACTTAGTTTGTCTAGTGTAGTGGCGACTGGTATGAAAGATTTGCTATTCTTCTTTCGTAGGCAGTAGATTGAAGTTTACACCCCAGCAGAGTACTGATACTTTTCCGAGGAATGTGTGATCTACAAAAGGGGGGATATATATTCATATAAAGTCAACAATCGAAAACCCTGAATCATTACTCCTCCGTCAGAATCCTTGCATGTTGTTTGATTATAGGCTGGGAGCTGTTCATTGTATTGTAGTGACACTGGCAGTTCGATATGCATTCCGCTTTAAGTACATCCGCTGGTCCCAGAAAGCGTACTCTTGAGGCTCTTTAGGCCCAAATATTGAGGATTAGGCTTTTGGGACATCTGTGACATGCCTCAGGTGCTGGCATGCCACGAAACCTTGCCCAGAGCATCAAAGGATGCTTGGGCATTCAACACCTTCGTTCCGTGTGCGGCTGACTTTTGAAGGTCAATAAGTTTAGACTGGCACATCCACAGTCCCCGAGGAATGGTACGGCTAATTGCAGAAAAAGAGTGGATGGATAAGGGCGAGGAAAGGCCGTTTATTTGGTATTTTCCAGAACAGATGATGGAATTTATTCAATTTTTCCAAATGTCAACTAGAACACACTTATCTCATTGAGTTAGAGAGATATACTGAGTTTGACAACGAGAAAAATACAACACCAAATCAGAGGCTGTGAATCTAAAATCATCTGATGTACATAGTTTGAATGTGTCGCACCGAGAGGATGTTCGATAATGTTCATGCTCCATCATTTGAGCAAGCTTATAATATGATGTCGCCGAGGATAGAAGGCGCTAAGTAGACTAACTTTCGAGGCAGTCCTTCAAGTGGCTGAGATTCATTGTAGCTTCTTCTGTATCGGTCATCTGTCCTTCTCTCCAACTTAATGGTAAATGTCAGAGCAAAACCTGAATTCTCAAGTGGACAAATTTAATGGGGTAAGAAAGAACTTCAGCTCCAGAGAAGGTAACTACGTGATTTTGAGGTGGAATACTTAGTCCGAGCATCGATTATACGTCTTCATCTGGCGGCACCTCTGTCGAAATTAATATACAGCAGGCTCGAAATCAGAAGCAAAGGCTTGCAAGATTCATGTCTAGCGGCTTCTCATGACATAATCCCTCTTACAGAACATGCTGAGCAGAAGATACCGAGGGGTTCTTGCAAACATTTCCAGGAATCTACTCGTAAGGATCTTAATCTGCTTCTTCCCGTAACTCACGAAGATCTGGTAGCTACATTCCGAAAATTCATTCATCGATATCTTCATTTGCAACAAGCCATGGGCGAGTAAGAGTGAAAGACTGCAACCATGAAACTCATGTAGGAGTTCAGATTTCCGCTAGAGAGACTTCAAGATAATTTACCGACAGCTCGATATGGCCTTTGTTCTCGTGGATTTTTCTTTCGTTTATTGATGCTGCCAACTCGGTAGAAAGACAAGGAATATACTGGCGAGAGCACCGAGAGCTTAATTTATACAGCGTCTAATCTCACTGTACAAGACACCAGCGCATGAACCTGATGTACCGTCCTCCATAACCATGTGGCAAGTCTTCTGGTTCCTTGCACGGATGCTTCGATGGCGGAGGTTATACCACCTGCGAGTGATGTATACTTCCCTTCCTGCACCTTGCGGTCCAGCTGTGTCGCTGACCATATTTGCAAATCAGTCTACACATTCACTCGTACAGCAATGACATCTGCCTGAGTCGAGATTAAATTTTCTCGAACGGTTTAACCTGCGACAAATCGTTAACAATGCCTGCCACAGATCCGATCAGACCAGCCAGCGAGACGAGGAAGGTCACAAAACTGAGACTATGAAGAGCTATCCAGGTCGGGCTCCAGCGGGGGATCTTGTGCTGGTTCATGTACATGACGACAGGATAGTAAACTGTCAGTGGCCAGAAAGCAAGGGCTCCAATGATACCTAGAACGGCATTGAAGAAGGGTAATAACATGGAAATGATTGTGGTGATGATCACGTATATTGTTCTCCAGGTCAAACGAAACCAGTTTAGTCTGAAGTTGGACCCTCCAGGAAGCCTGACGGTGTAACCTCTGCTGTGAAAGCTTCTTTTGCTCCACCTTCTCGCTACCCACCTCTCCGCAAATTGGTACACAGGTTGAGTGTACACCTGCCATGAACAAGCATCTACTTTTTTAAAATCAAATGTAGTGGGCGGAACCCGAGACTACATTCAGCAACAGACTTTCTATCGACCGGAACCAGTGAGTTGAATTAAGCCTTGTGGTATGAGGACTTCAAAGCTTGCTGATTTAGAGCGTAGTCAGAGTAATTTTTTGGATGAAAATAGTGAATGGAAGTCTTTGTTTATAGTATGCAATACAAACCTGATATGCTCCAATCAGATGGATGACGATGCATACGTTTGCAAAATCCACCAGCCAATATGGGCTAAAGAATCCAGTCAATAGATTGCCGGGTGCAGCATCACCAAATGCCAAGTAACCAGCAATGGCCACGGACATGTAGAAAGCTGTTGTGACAGAGGTGCCCCACAAGGTGGCTTTTTTCATCTGCTTGTTTTCAGCCGGAGGACTTCGGATAGTGTCCTGCAGATAAAGTGTGCGAAATTGTCACTAGAAAGGATTAATATTTGCACCTAATACAGATGTTTGCTGCTGTGGAACCAAGAAACTCTGGCGACCACCAAACAAATACGCTTCTCGAAAATCTCAAGCGGGCTCTCGATACAGAAACATTGCGATTCGGCTGACAGCAAATTCTTCTGAGAAGCAACAAGTGGAAGATCGATACTAAAGAAAACATGAAAATAGTGGCGAATTTGAGTTGTTCATTTGTTACAGTGAAAAAAGATAGCTCCAAAGATCGCAACAAAAGTCACAATGAACTTGATGGTTGTGAACTCAGAAAAGCTGAAAAGGTAGGGCCTCCCATGCATCTGATGCTGATTCACAAGAAGTGAAAGCTAATTCAAAGAGGTAACATGTTCCGACTCTTTGGACGTTTCCGATACAGGATCAGCGACTATTGGAGGATCTAAGGAGCAACTATGGTTGACTTGGACGAAAAGAGCCGGGAACAAGGAAAACACAAGATTTCGCCAGAGGAAGGTTATTCGGAAATAACAGCATTCCAAAGCATTCATTAGTGTCTTTTGGCTTGCGGTTGTCAATGCAGTTCTCGCAGAGATCTGTGAGCTGATACGATAAGAAACTTTACCTCAATTTCAATTAGAATCATGGAGAAGGAGTAAGCAAATGCCATATTTCCTAAAGCCGCAAAGATGTTCCACACTTTTTGAGCTTCAGTCACATCTGTGCCGATTCGTACTCCACCTACGCTGCCGTATGAATGGCCACCCTCTGTAGATTATATAGGCAGACACAACAGACGAAAACTCAATAGGTAGCTTTGCCTCATCCTCATCGTATATATTATAAGGCATATCAATTCAATTTCACTTGCACGGCAATGAGTTTATATAAGTTTATGAAAAAGTCTCAAAGTTTTCTAGAACCGAGTCGTGGACTCAAATCGAAGCGAAACTGAGCTTGATGATAACAATTCAAGCTAGCAGTTTGAAAGGAGCACAGACACCTATTGGGATTGAACATATATGGCTCAGAACATAAACGTAGAGAGGTGACAGAGAAGTATTCACAATGTCTGAATCATACGAAAGACCCCCGTCTTTCAGACTGACTGCAGAAGAAATATGTACTGAGGAGAGGCTACTTAGTACCGGCAGCTTTAGAAATGCCGAGTCCAAGACCAATGGTGGCGTATGTGAAGGACATGATTGCGGCAACATACGAAAGCCACCATAGGTCCCCAAAATTTGGGATTTGTGACAGGAAAATCTGGATGACACCGAACACTGCAATGTAAGATGTGGTGGAGGCCAAGCACGGTGAGTCGCGGCCATGCGAGTGATAGCAATTTGACTTTTGCACTGCTCTGCACCATCACAGCCATCCAAGCCCCAGGGAAACACGGTCAAGAAATTCCAAAGAAACAGAGGGGAGTTGTCTTTTGATGGAGTTTATTATCGTCTGAGATAAAAGAATACACCACCAAAGAACATGTCTGCATGTATCCACCTCTCTCATGGCTGCTCGAAAACTGATCCAAGACATAAGAAGTGAGGGAAGACATCATAGATAAGTTTGGCAAGCCTATACCACCAAGAGATTCAACGAAGAACTCAAACGCATGCTGAACAAATGTCTTATTTTTGGTGCATTATGCTCTAATCTGTCATCCAACAAGTAAAACTCCAAGTCCAGGTTCGTTTTCTCTTTATTCAGTTAGTAAATTCCATACACATGCAGCCCTGCTGCAACAATCACACCCAGTGACAACTTGCGTTTGTAGATTCTAGCCTCATATCTGGCATCCAACTTTGAATAAATCAGTTATCACCATACCAGATGTGTGAGGCTCTTTCTTAATTTCTTTGTTTAGATAGTATCTTAATTTTCCATTTCATGACTGGCATACCAGCTCAGCGCATTCGTGTTCACTCCACTCACGTCTCAGGCTCCAATGTAGGATTTGACCTTCATGAAGACGGTTGTGTGGGCACAACCTCGTGAGTACAGCCCATCTATTAGCCTTGTGATTTGATCTCTTAGTTTCATATTGACGTAGTTTCAACGGGCTCATTCCTCCTCCAATTCAACAAGCTGTCACTGTATGAACGTGTGGAAAAAAGGCTCCCTTCGGCAGCCAACATGTCACCAACTTTGAGATCGTTTACTTGAGCAGCCGTGCAAGGACGTTCTGCCGAAGACATTTTATCTTCAACTAGTCTTCGGTTCAACCTCACCAGCACGAGGAGAGGAGAGAGGGAGCGAGATCTGCTCAGAGTTGTCTGGATAATCGACCGAGTGGAAGGGTGAAAAAAGATGTAGAATAACAACCTCGTGCTTGGGGGCAGCTGGTGGCATGAATGAATGAGTGAGTAGTACTTACACTGCACTGGTGGCCGTGGCGATGGTGTAGCCGATGGAGGTACCGACGAGGTTGCTGTACTGCATGATACCGCAGATCAAATGGGACCGAGCTGAGACGTTAACTTTAACCGCATCCATGTAGATGTAGTTCCGTCTGCCGGTGACCGGGTGGGGATACCGGTAACAGTCGGCCAAGAGCCTGGACGTGTACCACGTACAGAGCGCAAAGCTGAAGAGCACCAGGGGCCCTGCAATCCATCCCATCTGCGCGAAGCTCCACGACAGCGATAGCACTCCGGACCCGATAACAGCAGTGATGATGTGAGCTGTAGCGGTCCAAGTGTTTCCTGGTAAGATTTACACCATATCCTTGGGTCAGCAGCGGCTCCAATTTTTGTCCTCTCCTCAGTTTCAGCGTCAACCAAATTCGGGCCCAGCAAAATCTTCTTTGCAATATGGGTCTGATCTCACTGTAATCATCGATCCTCTCATCCAACAACCAACAGTCAGTGCAGGAGAAACCACCAGGAAGTTGGTACTGCTGTAATTGTGTTTATTCCGTCGTTAAGAATCAGAATTAAAGTGAAGGAATTGTGGATCGAGTCCACAGCCTCTTTCTTCCAGGGTCACCGTGAATGAAACTACACGCGTTGGTAAACAAAGGGAGCACAGAGTTTGCACCTGTGCGCATGGGCCTCCCGTCGTCATCCAAGAGTTTGCCAGTTTCGGACTCCACTCCATCGAAGGGAGACCTCTTCTGCTGCATCTCAGATTTTGCCTGCTCCTGCTGGTCCAGCTTTTCTTCAGATCCGGTTACCGAGCTGTATTTAGCTTCCTCGGAGCCCATTTTCGACATCTTAGCTGCGAGAATTGTACTTTTTCCTTCACTGAGCCCGCTTCATAGTGATGATGTTGTTCTCCTGGTCCGTGGCTCAAAGCATATTATCCATTCATCATCAACGTCGCATCATCTGCTAGAAGGTCGAGCCAGAATAAGGTTGGACAAAAGAAATATGTTATTTGTCACTGAGATTGACTGATGAGTTTGATATCTGATACGAGATGAATTCTGTTGGGATCTGAGTGATGCCGAAATCATGACTTTCTCGCATGCAACTGCCAGGAAGAAACTTAATCGGCAACACTCCAACTTTTAGAGAAGCACAGAGTGCACAACAGCTCTGTAGTTTCAAATCATCGAACTAGTTCTTTCCTCCTATCTCTGGCCAAGTATCCAGGTTACCTGGACACTTGAATAAACTTCCACATTTGTGATCGGCCTAAACTCTACTGAAAGTCCCTGTACGCTCAGACATTCAATGGAGATGACATCGAAGAAATCAGAATGATAACCGGCGAACAACGTTTATGCAGAAAACTGCTAATTGATAGCAATAGCGCGAGTTTCTTTAAGGGGGATTGAGCTGCAGCTCAAGAGCGAACATTCAACATAGGATCTCGCAATGACATAAGCAGTATGTAAGAACCGAGTTCGTGCCCGAGTACTTTAATCTACCAAGGTTTACTGGGTACCTTGCATTATTGCAGCTTGAATTACTCTGACTGTCGCATCAGGTCTGAGAAGCTCAGTTCCACGATCTCCGCAATTGTAGAATTCTGCCAATTTCAAATATCAGACAGAGGAGCGAGTCCTTGAAACAGATTCACAGCCGTATAAGGATGCAAAGTGTGGAAATATTGTACAGCTGAATGCTGATTACAACACGTGCAACAACTGGGTAAATCTATAGCTCATAGTTCTGCGACTTGCATGATAGCGACTAGAACTAAACGGACTCATTATGCCCGGAATTTCGATCTTTCCAGCACTATTGAGTATTACAACTCTTAGATATAAAACTTCAGTTCCGGATAGTTAATTTATCCGTTCTTAACCAGGAGCTAAATTCAGCGGGTGAAAAGCAACTTGCTGCCACTCACTTCAGCTCAAAATTACTGGAGAAGCAATTTGTGTCTTGTAAGAGAGACAATTGGACACTGATGAATGAAGACAAAAAACATACACAACAGATATCCCCAGTTCTCATCGGAAGAGAGATCAAGCAAACAACTGGGAGAAATATTGGAGCATTCTGATGTCGACAATCAAGGACTCGAGGTTAAATCAAATCAACTAACGTGGCGGCAGAGGTCAACTGACCTGCTCTGGAGTGGGAGAAGCTCAGAGACACGAGACGAACAGTGATCTACAACTGCGCCAGAGCAGGGGACGAGGCCGGCCAGGGCATGAAGATGAAGAGACCCAGAGTGAAATTTCAAACATCTTCTGTTCCAAGAAGCGCCGGGAGCCACAACTGTGGCGATGCTCCTGGACTGTCCGACCGACAAACGGCAGTCTTTTTCGTTCCTTAACGAGCAGGGAGATTTAGACAGGAAGATGTTCTTTTGAGCTGGCCCGGCACACTCCTGTTGCTGAAGTGTTCGCTCTTCATTGTGCGCTGACCCATTCTTTGTCGTGGAATCTGTGCAAACAGTTTTGCAAGTATACTACCAAACAGCCGGGAACCACGCTACACTACCGAGCAACCGAGATCCTCCACGTGTTCCATAAACGGAACCCTTGGATCAGTTAAACTGCCACCAGGTCCTATCCTTGGCCCTCACCGCAATGCTACCACGTACTCCGAGGCCTACAGCAGCTGCAAGTCAGCAGAATCCTCTGGTTCTGGCGCCGTCCTGAAATTCAATCCACGGTTCTGAAATCCGAGATTCATCAGAAAGAGCAGAGCAGAATCACAGGGTTGCGTGACTCTGCTCTCCTGAGTGCTCAGGTCGCCTAAAAGGACAAGCAACCAATGACCTGGACGCAACCGGACCTCCAAAATCCGGAATCAATTTCCAGCACTGCAGATCTCATTGACTTTAGTCAATCACGTGATAATTGTGCTCTCGTCATCTCGTCTTCGTCAACTGATTGACCATACTGTAGACCGTAGGTTTCATAAGGACAGTTCCGCAGTGTGGAGTTTTCCCTCGCTACTGGAACGTGACATGAGCTCCCCAATATCATGTAAATAGCTCAGAATCCTCTATGGCAACCATAGAGGATTCTATCACATCATGGGTTTTCCTCGTTAGGTCTCGGTGTCTATTAGATAGAGTTTTTTAAGACTATATTACTTGATAGATCCCTTGGAAACTCAACTCTCTTGGAATGATCCAACAGGTTTCAATTTACCGTATGCGACCCCATTCTACGGCCACGTCAGCCATGTTCTTATAACCTTCTGATTTGCTCTATAGAGTGGAGAGTGTTCGCCAAAGTATTTTGGCCACTCCTTCGTAGCCATGTCTAAGAAAATGACGGGCACCATGAGTCTAAACCGTGATTTCATCTTCTACTCGAAATAACCCCAGATATTACTGGAACATCACTGACGGTGGGTTCCCATCAAGATAGTGATAGGGTAAAATGGTAAATTACTCGTTTTGTAAGGATTCATTTTACAAATACAAGACTTGAATCCAATCTTTATACTCTGCAATCTTATTACTTTCCTTTGAAAATACATCAGGAAGATAAGGAAACTTTTTGTTGCTACCCACTAAATCGATAAAAGATAGAGGTAAGATGTAAAAACTTGGCTATAGTTAACAAAACGAGTAGAGCAAATGTATAGCTGAATAAATTATTGAGTATTACCGGGTAACTTTTGATCATTGCAAAAGTCCGCCACGCAGTTGGTGGCAGACTTCCAAGTTCCAAGTGGAAATTTTTGTAGGGTTTTTGGGTTTTAGTAATCTCCCTTCTTCTTCATACTCCTTCTTTCCTTCCACCTTACTTCCTCCTCATTCTATTAGGTGACCTCCCTGTCATCCCTTTCTAGCTTTTCATCATTATGCTATTATAAAAATGTTGTAAATGTTGAAGTTTTAACATATTGTCAGTTTTCGAGTCTACTGAGATATCTGATAGATCTTAGAAATTAAAAATGTGACTTACTTTAAGATATCACAGTCGTTTTGAATACTAGTCCATCATGTTGTTTCTCATTTAATATCTCGTCAGTGGCTCTGAGAATGTACTTCAGGTGCTTCTGGCCATGCTCCGGCTTATCATGAACATGTGAGATTTCATGAGAACACGTTGATTACAAAGTTTTTTGGACTTCATTGCGTTAAGACTTATGATGGTCAAAAGGGTAAATTATAGGGTAAATTGGTAAATTATCATTTGGTAAAGGTAAGAGTAGATAGTTGTGATGCGGGTAAAGTAACAGGTAAGGTAAAGATAAAGTCCCATGCATTACCCGATAACCTTTTACCTTGCCGAGACTAACAGTAAATGCGAGTATCTGAATTACACAATTGGAATTGCCAGAGATTGTCAATTGTGTTGCCATTGGGCAACACAATTGACTCTTCATTGAATCTTTTTTGCTTCTGCAAGGCCATAGTCTTTTTTTCTGACATACTTTTGGAGTCCTTCTGCATCATACATCCCACATTTACCATATATTGGGTTTGATCCGGCCTTCAGCATGAACATGCCAAATATCAGAGTGTAATCGAAATCTAGATGCACCCGTGATTCATCTGGCGGGTTGTACATGATGTCACTGCTCAAGAGAGTGGTCATTTTGCGTGGATAGAATGATGCCATGCAGTCAAAGCCTTGACAAAAATGCATGATGCATGCATGTCAAAGGAGTACCAAATATATGTGGCTTAGGTTACGCTATTGAAATTTATCGAACCTTGATATATACATCATGATATCAACTGCTATAACAATTTTGATATAGCAGTGGATATGCTTGTTGTATACATAGGACATGCACAGATGGAGACATAATAATACCAGCTCTCTCCTCATATTTTTGTCCAAGGTTGGGACATTTCATTGCTTTGGATTTTGCTTTGTACCTTATAAGATGTGGCTGCATCATACCTTTTCTTCCATGTGTGACATTTCTTAGTGGGATACAATGAGGGAATTGTTCAATAATTCGTAAATTGGACATTTTCTAAAGTCAGAGAATATAAATTTGTTTGCTGCTTATTTTTAAGGTGCTTCCCACCGTGAGAAAAGAAGCGCATGACTCCCACTGTTGGATACTTTCCATCGGATTATGAAGCTATGTTCTGGCAAAGATGATATCGCAAATTCCAGAACGAAGAGTTTCGATGAAAACTATACCTTGGGAAAAGCAAAGAAGTTGAATTTTGGATCAAATGTCAAGAGTATTTAGTTTGTTTCATGAGAATCAGAGATTTATCGTGAAAATAAAGGATTTAATTAGGTTACAAACTTTTTATTCAGTTTTGAAAGTTGTGGTCCGAATAGGTTTATTATTTGCTCTATCACTCAATCGACCAAAATCACTCAACCAAATCTACACATTGAAGCTTTAGATTTCAAAGAAAGAGAAAAATCCAAGTTGTTCAATAAATACCCTAATGAAATTGAATGATGAATCCAATTCCAATTGGTTTGGATTGCCGCTACACGGTGTCCTATTCCAGAATATTTTTGTGACTCAAGCGCGCTTCTCTTGCTACAGACAGCCGATTGAGTTCGAGATACATCGTGGCAAGAGCATATGTAGCCGATTTGTTTACATTTAAGATTCGAAAATTAAAAAATTGCAAAATGGGAATATAAATGTGTAAATTATATTTAAAGAACTAAATATTTATAGAAAGAATCTCATCATAATACTTAACGATCCCGGGAATTCGAGTAGACATTCGTGGAAGCGATCGGTGAAATCTCGAATTTAGCTCGCCGGCAATGCAGCGAATACCATTTTCATCTCTTGCAATCCCGATAACATCGTGAAGGGCACATCCAAAATGTCATTCATGCATTCGCGTACCACCCGTCCATACACCTCATCCGGTACCTCTTCAGTCTTAGTCTTTATCAACTCTCTTATTAGCGTCAGTGGATTCATCTAGTTACATCTAGCGACGAGGTAGTCAACATTCTTCTTTGAAAGTGCAACTAACAATCTTCACTTCACGTAAGTGAGGTCCAAAGGTGAGTCTTCCTTGCCACAAATCTCTTGACCAAAATGTCTTGCGTTCAACAAAGTTACTCACATTCTTCTCGAGCCACGAGCATAGCTTGCTCTGCAGTCTTCTTCGACTCTTCTAAGAAAAGGTTCATCTCCTTGAGTTAGTGAACCACTTCGGATCTCGATGCTTCGAAACTCGGTGTCATTATTATATAATATGGAATTTATAATCACCTGTCGATGGGTACCACAATCGATAGTCATGAGTCCCATCAATCTCAATTTCGAAGGCACACCGAGAGCTTTCTGAGTAGGTCAATCCTTCATTGTGACAATTCTGTTGTGCACAATCTTGCATATGCTATGATTCATAGGGATGCAACATTAACATGCGTACTTCGGCCGACTTAAGCAAGATGTCGAGAAAATTACTCTAATTTTTGAAGAAAACTGAATCTTTCGACCTCTCTAGTCGAATTTAATCAAACTCAATGTGCCCAAGGGCTGTATGTAATACACCACCGTACGATTCAGTACCCTGTGCATGCAATGATCACATGGACAAGTAGGAAACTCTACGCCATGAGCAGGGGAGTCAGAAATGCAAGCAAACATCTTTGAAAGCTTTAGATGAGAAAGTATTTGGTTACAGAAGAACTGCTCACACGCAGTTACAAGAATTGAAATTCGAGATTGTTCTCGAGCTTAGAAGAGATAGCGGATAGTCTGAATAGAACTCCTCCTATCGACGGATCGGACGTCCCTTTGAATCGAACGAGTTGCGTGACTTGGGGATTCCCTTCTCGTCATACTCAATGATTGTATAACTTTTCAAGATTTGAACTGTTCCACTTTTTTCATATACGCTCGCCTTCACTGTTTGACCTCCATAGATGTTCACCTCCTCTAATTTCACAGTTTCAGTGCTTTGATCCTTGGAATCGGTCAGAGCGAATTTTAAACGATTTCCGATGATCGTAAAACCCTCACGATCTGAGTATATGTGACTATCCTCACTACCCCCGGACATGATGTCGAAAATTGCTGCAACACCAGCTTTTCAAATAGATGTCACGATGATGTAACTTCAGTGCTGCAAATGTCTAATATGCTATTCTACTTTCTAGCAACACAAGGAGCAGAAGGAAAATCAGCTTTGCAGTTTCAAAGAATTGGTAGCAAGAGCAGTACTCACACTATGTTCTGATTTGACACCCGGATTTGTGCACTCTGATTTGTGAAGAAAATCCATCTGAATGAATGATTGTACAGATACACCTCTAGAAATAGTTCTCAACCAGCTATTGACGCGTCTCGGTTTCTTGACGCGTCTCGGTTTCATGTCACTAACTGCGTCATTGCCCCAAGCGCAAAGATGCGGTCGATTTTGTCCTTTGCGATGTACAGTACTGAAGACACTTTAATGTGCACAAGGTCGCATAGACAATTATTGCCCCACATGAGCTTCTGGTCCATACACCTTATCCGGTACCTCTTCAATCTTAGAGAATGTCAACTCTCTTATTAGCATCAGAGGAATTATCTAGTTACATCAAGCGACGAGGTAGTCAACATACTTCCTTGAAATTGGAGCTAACAATTTTCACTTCACTTACGTGAAGTGAAGATTGTTGGCTCCACTTTGACTCCTACTTGCCAAAAATCTCTTGATCTATGGGATGATTGATGGGACTTTGATGAATTCATTATTTGAGACCCATCCGAAACGCAAAACTCTTAACTAGACCCCAAAGGATTCATTTTACCATATGGTACCCGGCCTGCAACCCACCGTCATTTGCGAATTCTTGTATTGCGTGTTGAGCGATAGATTTTCAGTACGTCTATATGGGAGCTCGGAATGGGGATCGACCCATGTTCACCGAACTGCTGGACTCGACTGAGATTCATGTGGGCATGACTCACAAGATCACGTGGTCAAATGCAAGACAAGTGCTGTGTTGCTATCCGATCGGAAATAAAAGTGAAGATAATTCCATATTATTTCCTGTAAAAGCTTATCATGCAATTGATAAAATGGATTGAGAAAAGTACAATCGACCTCAACGTGTCAAACGAATCTAATCGTGTCATTGATTTGACACGATTCGAAAAGCCATAAATTACATTTATAAATTTCATGCTCTAGGTTCATGTAACAATGATACTAGGGAGCTGCTGCGACAAACTAAAACTATCAACTCGCCACGTATGAATTCTCGTACCTCTCGACTTAATTGCTATTTGTTATCATTACCGACGAAAACTATCACTACGTTTCCGATATGAAATCGAACACAGAAATTACAAACAATCGAATGGGAACATGGATGGCTGTGGACATTCGGAGGGTACATCGGGTAAAATGAATAATAGAGTTTAAGTTCTGCGTTTAGACAATTTTCTCACGTAAATGTCTTGTGTTCAACAAAGTTACTCACATTCTTCTCGAGCCACGAGCATAGCTTGCTCTGCAGTCGTTTTCTACTCTTCTAAGTAAAAGTTCATCTCCTTGAGTTAGTCCACCTCTTCGGACTTATCATCTCTCAGTAGAGCTATACGGTGCATAGCTTGTACCAATTCGTCAAAGTCTTCTTTGTGGTTCGTTCTCACCCAACCCCATACCTTGGCGCGTCCAATCCAAAAAGACAGGAATAGCGATGGTCTTCCTACAGTAGTTGAGCTGCACGTAGTCATAATTTACCTTCTTTCATCGCGTACATCTTCATCTCTTGAATGGAGGTTGTTTTCGATGAACCCAGAGGAGTTGTAATCTTATTCGGACGAGCGCGCTCTAGAGCTAACTCTCTCGCTGGTCTCTGCTTCATCCGGCCGGCGGTTAGGACTTCGAGCGAGTTATGTGATCACTTCTTTCAACATCAAAGTCACGACATCTCAACTTCAAATCAAACCGACGTATGGCATTTGACATGGTGTGGATCGATTGCAATGCTCAACTCCTCCCAACATGGCCGCGACCACTTCATTCCTGATTAGATACTTCCGCATTTGTAAGAAAGTCAGGAGGGTTATTTGCGCATACGTAGGAATAAAAAATGAATATTTGAAAATATTTCTCTCGTCCTTATATTGCAAACGCTTTACCAATTCCTTTACATGTTGTGCAAAGACTTTTACTCAGTTGATCACTGTAGTACCACTCACTAATTCTTTAACAATTCGTGCTTGTGATGACTAGCGTATGTTGTGGACTGCTGCTTTGAGAAGAATAAATTCAATGTGTACATGACACTCTCTATAATGATTTTTCAATCAAGTCAATCTTGTAAACTTCTTATATTTTCTTTCTTTAATTTCCAACCAAACCTGTACGTTGAGAGTATCCACGTTTGACATTTCCAAATCATAAACGCCGTTGTCCATATAGTCTTTCCTTTCGAGCGCCACAGTCCACAACACTGCATAGCAAGCGAGTGGTGCGTCTCTATCGAATTTAGGTTGCCTGGTTTTCATCTGACCTTGTGCATCTACACGCAGAAAAACGAAGTTTCCAATTTTTCGAATCTTGGTGGTGATCATTAGTTAGATGGCATTTACAATCACCTGTCGTTAGGTGCCACAATCGATAGTCATGAGTCCCAACACTCTCAATTTCGAAGGCACACCGAGAGGTTTCTGAGTAGGTCAACCCTTCATTGTGACAATTCTGTTGTGCAACAGTCTTGCATATGCCATTATACATAGGGATGCAAGATTAACATGCGTACTTCGGCCTAGTTAAGCAAGATGTCAAGAATTTCAAAAGTTACTCCAATTTTTTGAAGAAAACTAAATTTTTTCGGCCTTCTCTAGTCGAAATTATCAAACTCAATGTGCCCAAGGGCTGTATGTAATACACCACCGTACGATTTAGTACCCTGTGCAGGCAATGATCACATGACCAAGTAGGAAACTCTACGCCATGAGCAGGTGACTCAGAAGTGCAAGCAAACATCTTTGAAATTTTTTGATAAGAAAGTATATGGTTACAGAAGAAGTGCTCACACGCAGTTACAAGAATCGCAATTCGAGCTTGTACTCGAGCTTAGTAGAGAAGCGGATAGTCTGAATAGAACTCCACCTATCGAGGGATCGGACGTCCACTTGAATCGAACACGTTGCGTGACACGTTGCGCGACGAAGCAATGTCCTCAGTCACATCAGTACGATCTAACTCCGCAGTACTCCACAGATTGCCCCACCACTGTCTATGGTGTCGCTGTCCACGTAGCCCCCGTCGTGCTACAAATGAGCTTTACGAGATAAATTAAAAATCACGTAAAAATCTGATGTCTCATGCGGATTAGGATAATATGGACCGCAAATGGCAAGAGACGCGCAGTGCAGAAGGTGGTCACATTTCACAAAGCTATCGAAGCTGTTCTTATGGATTCTGCTGAGATATTGCTCAGATATAACTAAGATGTCTAGAATTTCAAAAACTACTCTAATTTTTGAAGAAAACTAAATTTTTTCGGCCTTCTCTAGTCGAAATTAATCAAACTAAATGTGACCAAGGGCGGTATTAATACACCACCGTCTGATTCAGTATCCTGTGCAGGCAATGATTACATGAACAAGTAACTCTAGCCATGAGCAGGTGAGTCAGAACTGCAAGCAAACATCTTTGAAAGTTTTTGATGAGAAAGTATATGGTTACTGAAGAAATGCTCATACGCAATTACAAGAATCGCAATTCGAGATTGTACTCAAGTTTAGTAGAGATAGCGGATAGTCTGAATAGAATTCCATCTATCGACGGATCAGACGGCCACTTGAATCGAACACGTTGCGTGACATGGCCGTTTCCGTCTTGTCATACTCAATGATTGTATAGCTTATCAAGATTTGAACTTCTCCACTTTTTTGATATGTGCTCACCTTCACTGTTTGACCTCCATGGATGTTCAGACTCTCCGTAACCTCAGTTTTAATACTTGGTACCCAGGAATCACTCTGTGCATCACTTCCGATGGTCGTATCACTCACGGGCTCTGAGTGTATGTACCTTCCCTCACGACCACCAGACATGATGTCGAAAATTGCTGCAACACCAGCATTATAAATAGATGTTAGGATGATGTAACTTCAGTGTTGCAAATGTCTAATATGCAATTCTACTCTCTAGCAACACAAGGAGCAGAAGGAAAAATCAGCTTTGCAGTTTCATAGAACTGGTGGCAAGAGCAGTACTCACACTCTGGTCGAATTTCACACCCGGATTTGTGAACTCTGATTTGTGAAGAAAATCCATCTGGATGAGTGGTTGTACAGATCACACCATTAGACAGATCTGACCGAGAAGTTGCGGTCGATTCTGTCCTTTGCGATGTACAGTACAGATGACACTTTAATGTGGACAAGGTCAAATAGAGAATTATTACCCCACATGAGCAAGCGGTTCGAGTCGAATATAGTTATAAAGAGTGGGACAATACAATGCCGTGCAAGTACTTGATGATGATGATGCTTCTGCATGGATCTACCTTCATGTCTCTCGATGAGCACCGCGTTGAACAGTTGTTGAGACGCCAGTCTCATCGTAACATATTCGAAACGAAAGTGCTTTGTAGCGCACACGTTACTGGCATAAAAGGAAACACTATGCTTTTGCAAATTTTGATTTGTGGATTTCTGGTATCTTGTTCTCCCTGAATAAACAAAATGAATGTTTGGATTGCAGGCTTTGGATGTTAACAAGTGTTATAATTGAATCTAATATAATTGGGTTAGAGAGGTTTGAAATGCAATCTTCAATGGAATATAGTTACACATTAATCAGATATTTATTTGATATGATTCCATCGAAACTTTAATTGTTTACAGTGAACTTTAAATTTGGCTTACCATTTAAGTACAACGCCGATACAAGTCACTCATGTTCTTGTGTCAAGATAACATAACGTGCTGACATTGAATTCTTTAGTAGCAATATTTTTTGAAAATTCGTTTCATTGTGTATTTGCAAATTTTTTGTATACTGAACTGTAAAATTCTTCCAATAGACAATCTTTGCACGCATTTTCACAATACAATCCCAAAGAGTTTCACCATTGTAAACCAAACTAGCGTTCAATCCGAAATCACTAGCTTTGAGTACATATTTCATAGAGTCGACACACGATCTTTTAATAATTAAATATATATAATTTGATATTATCATGTTATAAATATATTGAAATAATATTATAAAGTAATAAATATTTTTAAATTTTTTCACAGAATTTTTAATTGAAAATAATTAATATTATCTAATAAATATTATATTTCAAATTTTTTATATTATATTAAAATTATAAATATATTAATAAATTATTATACAACATATTTTGATATTTAAATTAATATGTATATTGGTATTTAGATATTTTATTTCAATATCAAATTACATAATTATATATCTCGTTATATTATAAACTTTAGTTATCAAATTATATGTTTTAAGATGATTAAGTTTCTATTATTAAAATTTTTGAATTTTTTTTTATATTTTAGAGATCATATTTATATATGTATTTATTTCTAAATATTAAAATAGTATTAATGAATAATTTAATGTAAAATTTTATTATAATATAAAAAATGAAAACTGATCTATAAGAATAGAGTTCAAAATTTTAATATTTTAAAATTAAGATTTTTTTAAATTTTCTTTTCGTACATATAATAAAAAAAATATGTATCATTGTGAAATATATCATTCCAGTCCATATGAAATTTGAAAGAAAGACATAAATAGCGACAAGAATTTCCATGATACATCATTCTATAAAATACACAATAATAAATATTTCATTAATATTATTGGTAAGATGAATTACATGTACTCGCAGAATATCCAAAGAATACCTGAATGACTATGGAACATCTCTCACATCTTTATTTGGATTTTTTTTTCTCTAAATATACTCTACTTTACTTCCTCTTACATTGTGATATTTACTGGATATACATGAACTATTCTCTAAAAATCAAAGCACCCAAAAAATTTCCAAACTTTAAAATATAAAAAAAATTCAACTTCAAAAATAAAACTGGAATTTCAAGCTTTGGAAATTTTATACATTATAATTGGCGAAGTATACCCAAGTGAGTACCATGAAGAGCCCTATATGCCAATGATCCTTGGAAATCACCTTGGCCAAGTTACCTCTACTATTCACAAACGCCAACAAGATGGTAAAAGTTAAGTCCGTATGCACATTGGTCAAAGAGATGAAAAGAGTTCAAAGTTTAGTACAGGTTTTGCAAATACCTTCCCAGTTCAGATGCAGCTGCCAGGCAATGACATTGTCTTCATTGTCGGTGCAAACACATTTGAGCTGTAAAAATGAAGCTTGCGACAAAATTGAACGGCCATAAAATTAGTGCCTCTTTGGAAAGTGCAACCATTTGGTTGGAAGGCAGAATGATGACGGATGACAGTACAGTAGAATAAGGAGTCAATTACCTTGGACAGTAGTGTCTTTCTTCCATAGTCGGTGAATGTAGATCTGCAACGTGGACCTGGTACAGAAGAAGCAAAGAATCTCCACGTTTGGACGCGCACTGTTGCAGGAAACTCGCTGGGATATTTCCTGGGCCTCCGCTTTCAATTGCCACTTTTCCTTCCTTCCACTCTTCCACTGCTACCCAATCCCGTCGCCCGGACGGAGGTTTCTTTTCATCACGAAGACATGCTTGGCATCTGACTCCCGTCAGCATTCCTCCAAAAGATCGAGAGAGTTCTGGTTTACGTCACCGAGAAGGACCAAAGACCGAATCTAGTCTTGTGGCACTTGACCCTAAAATTGCTACCGATGGTTTGAGACAATAGCATATCGATGTAGAAGATGAATGTTCGGCTGGATGTTAGAAAACTGAATTTCAGAGCGAGAGGGCCTTCGGAATAGAGAAGAGAGGAGTTCACCGTGGACGACGACCCATTAGCTGCGTTTTGAACCACCGATTTCAACAAGAGCTTGCGACGCTGCAGGATTGGGTAACCTCGAAGACAATACCAGACCCGGAACGAACCAAGATATAATGACGGAAGCAAGATCACACGTTGTTCATCCCGCCTGCTTGTACGATACAATAGAAGCTGCTTTTGTATGAAGACTCATGAACAGGACAGCAGATTCTGAGATGAAGCCCTTCCTCTTCAATTGCATCGACGTTCGTGATAATTTGCCGATCCAATGATACAATTCATAGACGAGTGCGTCCCCGTTGTGAACAAGAGTGGTAGCAATTAGAGCGGAAGGAAGCAAGGGCATTCTTCTATCAAACCGAAGCACATCTAGGAAACAGAACAGACTCCATAAAAAGTCTTCTGTGATGAGTAAGAGGGCGGCCGAAGGTGATGGGAATCTCTGAAGGTATCGCCACTAAGGCATTGAGGCATAAGAGAGCACTGAAAATATGGCTTGTATGAGAGTGGAGAAGAAGATGATCGTGAATACCAAGAAAGAGCCAAAGAGGACGAAACTTGAAAAATTGCGTTCCTCAACCTCAGCGAACCATCTGTTGCTTTTGGACTTCTCAAGCTCGTTGATCCTGTCCTGGATGTGGGACCAGTAGCTAGGGGTGGTGGATGGAATGTACAAACCGTCACATATCCGGTTCCACTGTTTGCACACGGTTTCTGCACTGCCCAGCTGGTTCACAATAACACCGCGGTTCATAAGCAGGCGAACATCCTGCACGCTGTCAATCAGGCTGCTCATCAGAAAGAGGTAAGTCCTCATGTCTCCCCTTGGGGTCACTCCGTTATCCTCAATCTGTTCGTACAGCGCTAGGTTTCTCAGTACCGCAACCGTGCCATCGTTCATTATCAGCTTCGGCACCAGAAGAACATACTTGTGCTTGTGCCTCTCGAATTTGATGTTGTTCATGGTCAGGGAGCTATCCCTGACCTTCACGGAGATGCCTACCCGCCTCAAACTCGTTGCAGAGGGTATCCTGAACCTATTCCGAGACGGCGTGAGATGATCGGTCGGAGCCACGTTGCGTAGCCTGAAACAGGGCAGAATTTGCCCGCAACTATCTGATGTCTCACGCGGAATAGGATTATATGGACCGCAAATGGCAAGATACGCGCAGTGCAGAAGGTGGTCACAGTTCACAAAGCTATCGATGCTGTTCTTATGGAATCTGCGCAGATATTCCTTCAGCTTCTCCGGATCGACGTCGAGTTTCTCACCGTGATTGAAAGGATACACTTCCATCACAAACCATTCCAGCATGTTGTACAAGTCGGCAGTGGCTTCCGTCATAGACGTGCATATGTACTTCACCACCGCATCCAGCAGTAACAGGGGCACCTGGTTCTCCAGCATCAAAAGATCATGCAGAACGGGAAACCTCGACGCATTGAACCGAGATCGCTCGAACACTGATGCGAAGTCGTATCCCCAAGTATCCGCCCAGCTGTAGCTGTATCTCAAATAAGCCACGATAAACAGAGAGTCCAGAGCCACCACGGCGTTCCCGCTCGCATTCACCGTCAGACGGTCGTACATGCTCCTCGCCAGCTCCAGGTTCGGCTCCAAATGTGACACAAAATCTCTCCACTTTTGCGTTTCCGTGGGCCTTCGGGACTGCTCTGGCTCTGGCGTGACGGGCGGCGGGTGTGGTTCTTGTCCCAGACAAATCTTCTGAGCTACAGCGAGTTTCGAAATATCCAAGTGCATGGGATCCTGATCCAGGACTAAGGAGGAGTGAGTGTAGAACCCTACGAACAGCTCGAGGGGCCGGAAGTCCTCTGGCGACTTCTCCTTCAGGTAATTTGGAACTCGGTAGATGCGTACCTTCCTGCCGTCCTCTTTCTCGTCATCCAAGTGCCGAAGAATTTCCTCGTACCAATCGGGCTCCATGACAATGAGAAACAATCTAGCTGCAGATGAATTTCAGAAGCCATAGCATTCTCCTGTGATGATCGGAACAGATTGCACTGTATGGCAAGGAAACTACTCCCCGATTTGCTCTACAGAACAGTCAACTTCCGCTGGACATGGCTCGTGCTCGTCGGGATGAACTCGTTCCAAGGCGCCAGTTGCTTCGAGGACATCTTCATCTGATCACGTGCCCAATCAGCCAAGGAACGTTTTTAATCAGGCTCTGACTGTTCACCATCAATCGCAAGCGCGTGTGAACCTAGATCAGAGATGGTCAGACCCGTTCAAATTAATTGCATACACGACTAACTGACATCATTGATTTTCAATTGGAAAACGGACACGGATTGGTTTTCACACCAATCGCCCAGGTACAGTACCACTATTATTTCAAATAAAATTGGAAATGAAACGTGGAAATATCTCGAAGTGGAGTACTAATGTTTGGAAAAATTTGACGGTCTAATCTTGGTTTCATTCTAATGGGAGCGGCTAATTATGAGCCCTAAGTGAGGCTAATAATCCCTCACAAGTATAGGCAGTTCTCTTATTGGTGGATGTAGCCGCAACTATGGGTGTTCGACCATATACTAGGGTGACAACTAATTAACCCTAAGCGAGAGATAACTAACCACTCCGCTATAATTCTATCACATATTTTAAAACTTCAAACATATACCATCATGTTCGTTTGGAAATAATAGTTTCTGGTGGAAACCAAAATTTTTTCGCTATGCCTACTAGAACTAATGAACTGCTGTACTAATACAATGTAACAACTCAATTCGCACCGTCTATAGCTAGCTTTGAAATTATTTAGTGACTTATTTTAACAGACTTTGAGATGGGAAAAATACACTCATGGTATAAACAGTGGAATGGAAAAAACCATCCAACATGAGCACAAATAAAGGTCCACATGAAACCCTTTCCCATGGGCAAAAGGAAAGGGTGACAGTATATCTGTCCTTTGATAAATGACAATGCCCAGTTCTGGCTTTCAACTTGCATACTTGCCTCAATCTTTACTTCAATTGCAAAGGGGAACGCAAATATTTTATTAAGAGAATAAGATGCAATATGAAATGAACTATACGGCTATCATGATAAAGTCAACCATATGTGCAATTTGTAGTTAACAAAGTTGATAGAAAGTCTTCGTATAGGACAATAGGAGTAGGTTTCAAATGACAAAGGTCATTCATTGTAGATGAGAATGTGTCCATGAAACTTGACTTGAGCTCTTGTATTGAAATAAATGCTATAAAAACGGAAGAAGACTTGGGGCACAATGATATCAAAGCAAGTCAAAATTGCTGCTCGGCGCAAGCAGACTTACAAAAAATAAACAAAAAAAGTCAACGATTGCCAACAACAAAAAAGGTATTCGAACCCTTAACCTTTAGTTTTGGAGTTCTTCAACCAAGGATATTATACAACATAATTAAAAAAACAACTTAGCTATGATCAGCATCAAACTCAAGATAGATTCTACTAGAGAGATCTCTCACAAACACAAAATAAATAGCACTAGTTGATAGACATCTTCGATTAACTGTCATGAATTGTTCATGTGCACAATTTTTAAGTTGAAGTACCTCCATGTTTTCAACAATGACTGGATATTACTGTATGAAATCTAGCTAAACTATATGAAGGCTAACTTTAAATCTGATGATGTATGAAGGTTATCACAAACGTAAAGAGAGGAAAGTTAGATATGTAGTTTATCTTTTATATCATGATTTGAAATCAAATGGTTAAAATGGATACCTTATAAAGTATTAAAATTATTATTTTTACATATTGCGGGTGTTCCAGATGATTTCGCTAGGCAAGTTGACTTAAGTTTTTGAAGTTCTCCACATCATGTATACATTGATTCAGCATATTATGTTTAAAAGAAAATCGTCACGTGTTAGGCCAAATCATAAACCTGTTATGTAGATTTTGATTACGACAACATCTACAATTCAATATGTGTTTTTTTTTGTAAGATTGGTGCAAAGACTGAAAATCTACATTGTAAAAGTATGTATTTGAATGCATTACTGAAGCTTAATATTTAAGAGTAACGAAACTATCATTAATTTTCAGAAAAATTAGATAACATATGACATTGTACATCTTTCTTACAACAGTCAGAAAATTTTAAGAATATATATCAGTGAGATGACGAATAGTGTAATAGATATTATGATAGTTAGTTAGATAGTTGTTCTTGATATGATGATTGAAACACTTAAATTGACAATAAAGTAAATATTATTCATGACTGCATCAAAATGAAATGTTTAAAAATTGCTTGAAACGGTATTCACAATTTTGTTGCGGCATATAGATACGACTCCAGTAAACTTGCAATTATATTATATTCGTAAAAGATTTTACACTTATCATTTTTGGCTATGGCTTCACTCTAGGTTACAATCTGATATAAGAGGATAGTCATGTATTATTCAAAATAATATTTCCCTTAAAAATGCTGAATAAGACGACACATCCAGTTTTGAAGATCTCATTACTTTAGGCCCTTTCGAAAGTGGGATTTTCGAAAGGGAACTCTGATTTCTTTTTCGAAAGTGGGATTTTCATTTGTCTTGGTCTCCTTCATTGTGCATCGGTAATAGGGGAAGGGGGATTTCCAAAAATTTCCAAAAGTCCAAAAATTTCAACCGACAAGATCCGGTCGAAATTTGTGGACTAGCTAGGGAAAGGAAAATCGGAAGGCAGGCATTCCCCTTGAGCCCCACGAGTCCCCTGGGCACTCACCTCATGCATGCCAGGCGCCAACGCGACTTTGACTGTGGCGTCTCTGTACTCGGCAATATCAGCGTCTTCAACAGCTTTCTCAGGGAGACAGGTTCCAATGCTTCAGCTCAAATTGGGCACAGCTGGGGTTGATTGGTGTCGCTCCGACATGTAGGAGAGAAGTTCATTACCTTCGTGCGGGATATCACAATCCCCAGTTACTTTGGAACCATCTCAGCCTCTGCCAGATTCCACTTCAGCAAACCATCTTGGGAGTTGGGCGTCAGCTCTTGCACGAGTTCTTCCAGAGGAGTGATGGGCTACCTGAGACCCAGCATATTCTCTTTCGACCCATCATTTCCCATTTTTCAAGTACGGAGCAAATCTGATACTTCCACATTATTGGACTTAAATTCATCATTTGCAAGACGTTCCAACTAAGTTCAGACTAGGATCTGTCTTCTCGGTGCATCTGTGGTGTCCCGGAGCTGGCCGTTGAGCTCGTTCCTGTGTGATTTTCCATGAAGGAATTTATGGAAATCAGTAGTTATGGACTTGGTAGTTATTAGACTTCATCTTGACTCATCTGTTACACTCCAGATTCGTTTCATCTTGTTGTGTGCTAATGGGCGATCGACACAACACGCAGCTCCGCTACGGACTCAGTCACATGCATGCCCCGCTTGCATGTTCCGATAGAGTTCTTCACGTTTCGTTTCGCAATGCGATCTTTCTGTGCTAATGCGATCTTCAGTTCGATAAGTATCTTCGTTCAGGACGAATTGTGTATATACACTAAGATCCGGGCTCTAGTGAGATGTCCATGATGTAAATTGGTTTTATTTAGTTCTTATTTAGCTTTGCGTTTAATCCATTCTTAGGTTTTGGTGGAACTATGATTGAGATGAGATATGGATTAAACGCCTCAGTACCTAAGAAATCTGACAGGTTGGGCATATACTGAAAGACATCTGACTGAGATGAGATACTGTGCTTCGATGGTATATTTTACGAATCTTTTATATACATAGTTAAATAGTGTGCATAAGTACACGATAGTAATAACTGTCCTTAAGATGTGTACATTCTCTTCCACATGTTGGTGTGGTTCTACCACAGTATATGCCCAACCTGCATTTATGGGGTTTAGGCCCTAAACCCCAGAATATGCATATTCTGCATTGGAATTGGAAAAAGAAAGGCACTCAAGACAAGCTGCTTTAAACCACAGATGGCACGAACGTTAAACCCGGACTCGTACTCCAATACCTCGGAAAGCATTGCATTAGTGGAAACGATCTTCTATATTTGGCTATGGTTCGCTGATATTTGCTTGTGATGAACAACGCCACCAGCAGCAGCAAAACCTGTCGAAGCCATGTTAGGGTACTTCCACTCGAAGAAAGAATCAGACTATCACGTGACTATCTTCATGCAGAGATCATTATGGAATGTGGATTGATTTTATCGTGGTTTGGACGAAATCCAAATTGGAACTCGTGGATATTGATCATCGTAAAATTCACGTACGAATCGTTATTGCGAGTTTCATATATCACCGAATGTGGATTGAATGTATAACAAGTAAACATTGCTTTAACACCTAATCTGTCGAGGTTCGATGATTTGGTTCTTGTTCCATTATTCAAGTTGAAGACTTGACAGTATCTTCCAGGTGATACTGTCAAGTCTGCTATGAGTCTGCTATGACCTATTCCTTGCTGTGTTCTGTACACGATGTGGTCTAAAGTGATGAATGTACCTGGAATTATATGTTTGGCGTAGGGGACAGTAAACTTCATTCTCCAAGACTCAGTACCTGGTTTCATACACCTTCGACGGTCTTTGCGGCTGCTTAAAGCGCCTACGAAAGTGAAGGCATTGCCGACCAAAGAAGCACAAAGTAAGAGAGTAATATATAGCGATAGACTTCCTCTTTGGTGTGTACTCTAACATTTTTGTACAAGATTTTCATTGTATTCCAGAAATTGTTAGTTACTGAGAAGCCGAGACGGGCATACTCTGCAAAAGTATGCAGATAGATGAAGAAATTATCAAGGATGATGGAATACGTCTACATCAGTATATCAAGTAACTACCGTTCGAATCACGTTAACTGATGAAACATCACCTTGCTGATACTGGATGCTCATACAAGTGCAGTTCAATTGTTTGATCAGATTCAGCGAACCGAATTTCTCCTTTCCTGAAAACTAAAATGGCGTGAATAGAAAACAGCCAATGACTTGGCACAGATTACTTAAAACTAAATTGGAAATGAACAAAATTGTGATTTTGACTTGTGGTTCTCTTGCTCATCATATTTTGACATAAATACTAATGGACCTTCGCTGCAAGAGTACTCTTCAAGAGTGGTGACTCGACTTTACAAGTGAGGCTATCTCGACTTTACAACTTTCCGTTTCTATTGCAGAAAGAGCGAAACATTATTCCAATCTCAACTTCCAACTTACAGCCATTACTTCTCACCGACTATCCAATTCACCACCAATACAAAAGACTGTGTGGGTGAACGTGAGACTTCGTGTGGAACATCCATTGGAATATGTCCAAAGGCCGAACTTTCACCAGGACCACGTGCCTCGACACACAACAGAATGGAACAAATTGAGTGAAGGAGGGCCACAAAGGACTCAACATGATGTATGAGAACTATGCCGCGTTCATAGTGGTGAATTTAATGTCTTCAAAGAAAATTACATGGGAACGAGCGCAACCGCCCTCTCCAGGCTCCATACATGCGTCGAGTAGACAGAGCCTCGTCTGTAGTCCGTTTGAACGCCTTGCAAATGACGAAACGAGTTCTAGTGATGTGGGAGTATTAGATTTGCTTCGTACTTGAGAATGGGAAAAGATGGGTTGAGAGAGAATATCCTGGCTGTGAAGTAGCCTCTCCTCCTCTGAAAGAACCCGTGCCAGAGTTAATGCCCAGCTCCCAAGATGGGCGGTAAAGTTGAACCTGCCAGAGGCTGAATTGGTCCCAGAGTAGCCGGAGATTGTGATGTCGTGCACGAAGGAAATGAATCTCTCTGCTGGATCTATGAGTTACACAATTTCTCCCGAGCCGTGGCCGATTAGAGCTGAAGCATTGGAAGAAGTCTTCCTGAGAAAGCTATCGAAGACGATGATATCGCCGAGTGCAGATTGGCCGGTGAGAGTCCCGCTCGCGCCGGCAATTAGTATAGCGGTAACGTTTTGCGGCACGAAGTCGTCGTGTAAGTAGTAAGTGAATTTTACGGCCTTGAGCTCCATGGCGCACACAGGGCTCCAGCATCCCGACGAAAGGATGCACAGGGCACTGAGAAACACAGCTAGAGTGGACGTCCCATGATTTATCGCCATGCTGTTGCTGTAAATCCGGGGTTCGAGAAGGAGTTGTTTTACGAAACGAGTGTGAGTGCCTCCCTCAGATCGCTCGGCTATACTATACTGCTACAAGATATCGGTTCTAGGAACCTGTGAATAAATGGCCTTCTTCAGGCGGGAGATCCCGAAAGCTAAAGTTTCGATATGTTAGAAATGAGCTATCTATGCTCACAACCACGACAGATCCTCGCTTATATGCGGCTTTCCAAATCAACAGTTGCGGATCTTTTCATGGAGCCATAAGCTGGACCTATGACGTCGAGAAGGAATTATTGCTCAACCAGCGAAGGGAAGTAGAATTTGTCTCACGGCATAATCGTGAATAATTTTCTCATCATAACTCAACGTCCAAATCTGTGCTGCTCTATCGGAGTGGGCTTCATCTCTACAGTCACTCTGATCAGCAATGCAAGCGATCGAGGCTCAGTCTGAGCAGGCCAAGGAGACCGATTCTGTTACATAGACCCCAAAAATTTGGGCAACACTGCCCTGCATAAGGCTCCTTTGAGTATATTTTCCTGACTTTGGGACTGCCATCAATATTTATCTGGTTTGAAACACAGCGCTTTTACGTTGGCATCAGCGCAACGACAGACATTCTATATCAGAATCAAATGTGCGAATTTACATATGAAAGGCATGGAGCACTGAGAGCATCATCCATTAGAATGTCAACAGGGGTTAAAGATAGAGCACGCATAATATGGAGAGGATTGAGCACATACCATCCAGCTCATTTCCCCATTCTCTTTATTATTTATTGACAGAATATCAATAAATAAAAAATTGGATTATAAGTGGATGAACTGAAGGTAAAGATTATCAATCTTATTACTTCTCAATCTCGAAGGCACAGATAGCTTTCTGAGTAGGTCAATCCTTCACTGTGACAATTCTGTTTCTGCCACAATCTTGCATATGCCATAATGCATAGGGATGCAAGATTAACATGCGTACTTCGGCCTAGTTAAGCAAGATGTCAAGAATTTCAAAACTATTTTGATTTTTGAAGAAAACTAAATTTTTACGAAATTTAATCAAAATCAATGTGCCGAAGGGTTGTATGTAATACACCACTGTCCGATTCAGTACCCTGTGCAGGCAATGATCACATGAACAAGTAGGAAATTCTACGCCATGAGAAGGTGAGTCAGAAGTGCAAGCAGACATCTTTGAAAGTTTTTGATGAGAAAGTATATGGTTACAGAAGAAGCGCTCACACGCAGTTAGAAGAATCGCAATTCGAGATTGTACTCGAGCTTAGTAGAGATAGCGGATACTCTGAATAGAACTCCACCTATCGAGGGATCGGAAGTCCCTTTGAATCGAACATGTTGCGTGACATTGCCGTTCCCTTCTCGTTATACTCAATGATTGTATAACTCATCAAGATTTGAACTGGTCCACTTTTTTGAAAAATGCTCGCCTTCACTGTTCGACCTCCATGGATGTTCAGACTCTCTATAACCTCAGTTTCAGTGCTTTGTACCTTGTAATCGCTGTCAGCCAATGGTGCGTAACTCTCCTCACTGGACATGATGTCGAAAATTGCTGCAACACCAGCACTTCGAATAGATGTCACGATGATGTAACTTCAGTGCTAAAAATGTCTAATATGCAATTCTACTTTCTAGCAACACAAGGAGCAGATGCAAAATCAGCTTTGCAGTTTCAAAGAATTGGTGGCAAGAGGAGTACTCACACGCTGTTCTGATATGCCACCCGGATTTGTGCACTCTGATCTGTGAAGAAAATCCATCTGGATGAATGGTTGTACAGAGACACCTCTAGAAATAGTTCTCAACCAGCAATTGACGCGTCTCGGTTTCATCTCAGTAACTGCGTCATTGCCCCAAGCGCAAAGATGTCACCGAGAAGTTGCGGTCGATTTTGTTCTTTGCGATGTACAGTACTGACGACACTTAATATCAGATAGATAGATATATATATATACAAGGTCAGATAGACAATTATCGCCCCCACGTGAGCATCTGGTCCATACACCTCATCCGGTACCTCTTCAGTCTTAGTATTCATCAACTCTCTTATTAGCGTCAGTGGATTTATCTAGTTACAGCTAGCGACGAGGTAGTCGACACACTTACTTGAAAGTGGAGCTAACAATCTTCACTTCACGTAAGTGAGGTCCAAAGGTGACTCCTCCTTGCCACAAATCTCTTGATCTATGGGATGATTGATGGAACTTTGATGAATGAATTATTTGGGACCCATCCGAAACGCAAAAGACTTAACGGGACCCCAAAAAATTCACTTTAGCATATGGTACCCGGCCTGCAACCCACCGGCACTTGAGGATTCTTGTATTGCGAGTTGAACGATAGATTTTCAGTTGGTCCACGTGGGAGCTCGGAATGGGGATCGGCCCATGTTCACCCAACTCCTGGACTCGTCTGCGATTGATTTAGGCATGATTCAGAAGATCACGCAGTCAAATGCAAGACAGTTGATAGTGCTGTGCCTTGCCGCTATCCGATCGGAAATAAAAGTGAAGCTAATTCCATATTATTTCCTCTAAAGGCTTGATCATGCAATTGATACAACGGATCGAGAAAAGTACAATCGAATGCAACGTGTCGAATCAACGAGACAGTTGATAATGCTGTGCCGTGCCGCTATCCGATCGGAAATAAAAGTGAAGCTAATTCCATATTATTTCCTGTAAAAGCTTGATCATGCAATTGATACAACGGATCGAGGAAAGTACAATCGAATGCAACGTGTCGAATCAACGAGACAACTCGAAATGCCATGAATGATATTCATAAATTTCATGCAACATTGCCAGAGGATACTAGGGAGCTACTACGATAAACTAAAACTGTCAAATCGCCACATATAAATTTTCAGTACCTCCTCGACTAAGTTGCTTCTTGTTATCATATCCAACTAAAACTGTCACTCTGTTTATAATATGAATTCGAACAGACAAATTGCAAGAACTCGTATGGGAAGATGGATGACTGTGGACATTCGGAGGGTACAACGGGTAAGATGAATAGTAGGAGGTGTTAAAGTTCTGCGTTCAAGTAATTTTCTCAACTAAATGTCTTGTGTTCAACAAAGTTCTCGAGCCACGAGCATAGCTTGCTCTGCAGTCGTAATCTACTCTTCTAATAAAACGTTCATCTCCTTGTGTTAGTCATTGTATTCGGAATTTTCATCTCTTAGTAGAGCTATACGGTGCATAGCTTGTACCAATTCGTCAAAGCCTTCACCTTGACTTAGTCAACCTCTTCGGACTTTTCATCTCTCAGTAGAGCTATACGGTGCATAGCATGTGCCAATTTGTCAAAGTCTTCTCCTTGAGTTAGTCAACCTCTTCAGACTTTTCATCTCTCAGTAGAGCTACACGATGCATAGCATGTACCAATTTGTCAAAGTCTTCTCCTTGAGTAAGTCACGTCTTCGGACTTTTCTTCTCTCAGTAGAGCTATACGGTGCATAGCATGTACCAATTCGTCAAAGTCTTCTCCTTGAGTTAGTCAACCTCTTCGGACTTTTCATCTCTCAGCAGAGTTAGACGGTGCATAGCTTGTACCAATTCGTCAAAGTCTTCTTTGTGGTTCGTTCTCACCCAACCACAAACATGGCGACAGGAATAGCGATGGTCTTCCTACACTAGTTGAGTTGCACATAGTCATCATTTCCCTTCTTTCATCGCGTACATTTTCATCTCTTGAATGCAGGCTACTTTGGATGAACGCAGAGGTGAGCTAGTGCTCTAGAGCTAACTCTCTCGCTGGTCTCTGTTTCATTTAGCCCGCGATTAGGACTTCGAGCCAGTTATGAGATCACTTCTTTCAACATCAAAGTCACGACATCTCAGCTTCAAATCAAACCAACGTATGGCATTGGACATGGTGTGGATAGATTGCAATGCTCAACTTCTTCCAATATGGCCGCACCCACTTCATTCCTGATTAGATACTTCCGCATTTCTATGAAAGTCAGGAGGTTCATTTGCGCATACGTAGGAGTAAAAAATGAATAATTGAAAATTGTTTTCTCGTCCTTATATAGCAGACGCTTTACAAAGTCCTTTACATTTGGTGTGCAAAGACTTTTACTCAGTTGATCACTGTAGTACCGCTCACTAATTTTTTAGCAACTCGTGCTTGTGATGACTAGCCTCTGTTGCGGGCTGATGCTTTGAAAAAAATAAATGTACATGACACTCTCTGAAAATGATTTTTCAATCAAGTCAATCTTGTAAACTTCTTATATTTTCTGTCTTGAATATCCAACCAAACCTGTACGTTGATCTCAAAGAGAGTATCCACGTTTGACATTTCCAAATCATAACCGCCGTTGTCCACATAGTGTTTCCTCCCGAGCGCCACAGTCCACAACACTGCATAGCAAGCGTGTGGTGCGTCTGTATCGAATAAGGTTGCCTGGATTTCCTCTGACCTTGTGCAATTGGAATCACATCTCCACGCAGAAAAACGAAGTTTCCAACTTTTCGAGATTCGAAAAGTTTTTCGAATCCCGCTGCTGATCATTACTTAGAAGGCATTTACAATCACCTGTCGATAGGTGCCACAATCGATAGTCATGAGTCCCAACACTCTCAATCTCGAAGGCACACCGAGACCTTTCTGAGTAGGTCAATCCTTCATTGTGACAATTCTGTTGTGCCACAATCTTGCATATGCCATAATACATATGGACGCAAAGTTAACATGCATACTTCAGCCTAGTTAAGCAAGAAGTCCAGAATTTCAAATCTTATTCTGATTTTTGAAGAAAAATAAATTTGCACGACAATTAATCAAACTCAATGTGCCGAAGGGTTGTACGTAATACACCACTGTCCGATTCAGCACCCTGTGCAGGCAATGATCACATAGACAAGTAAGAAACTCTACGCCATGAGCAGGTGAGTTAGAAGTGCAAGCAGACATCTTTTAAAGTTTTTGATGAGAAAGGATATGGTTATAAAAGAAGTGCTCACACGTAGTTACAAGAATCGCAATTCGAGATTGTACTCGAGGTTAGTAGAGATAGCGCATATTCTGAATAGAATTCCACCTATCGATGGATCGGACGTCCACTTGAATCGAACACGTTGCGTGACATGGGCGTTCCCTTCTCGTCATACTCAATGATTGTATAACTCATCAAGATTTGAACTGTTTTACTTTTTTGAAACATGCTCGTCTTCACTGTTCGACCTCCATGGATGTTCAGACTCTCTATAACCTCAGTTTCAGTGCTTTGTACCTTGTAATCGCACACAGCTCCATGGATGTCCACATTCCATGGATGTCCGCACACAGCTAATGTACGCCTGTGCCTTGAGAATATACCCCCGCACATGAAGTCGAAAATTGCTGCAACACCAGCATTTCAAATAGATGTCACGATGATGTATATTCAGTGCTACCAATGTCTTATATGCAATTCTACTTTCTAGCAACACAAGGAGCAGAAGAAAAATCAGCTTTGCAGTTTCAAAGAATTGGTGGAAAGAGCAGTACTCACTCTGTGTTCTGATTTGACACCCGGATTTGTGCACTCTGATTTGTGAAGAAAATCCAACTTGATGAATGGTTCTACAGAGACACCTCTAGAAATAGTTCTCAACCAGCAATTGACGCGTCTGGGTTTCGTCTCACTAACTGCGTCATTGCCCCAAACGCAAAGATGTCACCGGGAAGTTACGGTCGATTTTGTCCTTTGCGATGTACAGTACTGACGACCCAACAGATTCATTTTACCATATGGGACCTAGCCCCGCGTGTTGCGACTCACTGTCACTTGCGAGTTCTTGTATTGCGAGTTGAACGATAGATTTTCACTTGGTACATTTGGGAGCTCGGAATGGGTATCGGCCCATGTTTGCACGATTCTTGGTTCGTCTGAGATTGATTTGGGCCTGATACTCAAGATCACGTGGTCAAATGCAAGACAGTTGATAGTGCTGTGCCGCTAGCCGATTTGAAGTAAAATTGAGTGGAAGGTCTGGAATATAATTCTATATTATTTCCTGTAAAGACTTGATCATGCAGTTGGATCATTCCGCTCCATGGTCCATACGAATTGCGAGTTTAAAGATTATGATACAATGGGTTGGGAAAAGTACATCGACTACAGCGTGAAAGATTGACGAGACAACTCGAAATGATATTTGCCAATTTCATACAACATTGCCAGATGGTACTAGGGAGGTACTTAGGTAAACTAAAACTATCAATTCTCCAGACCTCCTCTACGTAATTGCCTTTTGCTATCGTCCCGACTAAAACTATGAATCTGTTTACAATATAAAATCGAACACACAAGTTACAAGAACTCGTATGGGAACATCGATGAAGGTGGAATTTCGGAGCATCATCATCGGGTAAAATGATAAATACGAAGTCTCTTCAAGTGTTCTGCGTTTCCGATGTTTCCATCAAGTGATTTTCTCACCTAAATGTCTTGCTTTCAACAAAGTAACTCACATTCTTCTAAAGCCACGAGAATAGCTTGCTCTGCAGTCGTCTTCTTAAATTCTAAAAAAACGTTCATCTCCTTGAGTAAGTCAACGTCTTCTATACGGTGCATAGCATGTACCAATTCGTCAAAGTCTTCTTTGTGGTTCGTTCTCACCCAACCACAAACATGGCGACCGGAATAGCGATGGTCTTCCTACAGTAGTTGAGCTGCACATAGTCATCATTTCCCTTCTTTCATCGCGTACATCTTCATCTCTTGAATGCAGGCTAATTTGGATGAATCCAGAGGAGTTGTACTCTATTTCGGACGAGCGTGGTCTAGAGCTAACTCTCTCGCTGGTCTCTGTTTCATCCGGCTGGCGATTAGGACTTCGAGCCAGTTATGTGATCACTTCTTTCAATATCAAAGTCACGACATCTCAACTTCAAATTAAACCGACGTATGGCATTGGACATGGTGTGGATAGATTGCAATGCTCAACTCCTCCCAATATGGTCGCATCCACTTCGTTCCTGATTAGATACTTCCGCATTTGTATGAAAATCAGGAGGTTCATTTGCGCAAACGTAGGAATACAAAATGAATTATTGAAGATTATTCCCTCGGCCGAAGACGCTTTACCAATTCCTTTACATGTTGTGCAAAGACTTTTACTCAGTTGATCTTAGTAAATGAAGAGCTTGGTAGAGATAGCGGATAGTCTGAACAGAATTTATCCTATCGACGGATCGGACGGCCACCTTTTATCCTTGAGTTAGTCAACCTGTCTGGACTTATCACCTCTCAGTAGAGCTATACGGTGCATAGCTTGTACCAATTTGTCAAAGTCTTCTCCTTGACTTAGTCAACCTCTCTGGACTTATCATCTCTCAGTAGAGCTATACGGTGCATAGCTTGTACCAATTCGTCAAAGCCTTCTTTGTGGTTAGTTCTCATCCATCCACATACATGGCTCTTGAACAAGTTGAGTATTCAAAGAACTCACTGTGAGGAATTAAAAACTTTGAAGATGCTAACTCAGAAACGAAACATATATAGCAAAAATCACTAGTTACTCTAAACGTAACCCTAAACTAATACAAAGCTTACTTTGAATACAAACTATAGTGTTGAACGGACACTAAAAAACTTCTGAAGCAGAGAGTATACCGTCCAATAATCCCTCTTACTCCAATACTAAGTTTGTCCATCAAGAACTAGGAAGAATTGTGGAATCAGATACCTCTGATGGAATTCTGAAGTTTACTCGATCTTTCTCCGTCTCAAACTTGCTTCTTCCTAATGACTTTGTAAGCGTGTCAGGAAGTTGCTATGTAGTAGAGATATACTCAACAAGATGTATCTCCGGTTTCAACCTTATGGCGACAAAAGTGCCAATCAATTTCAAAATGCTTTGTTCTATTGTGAAATACGGGGTTGTTTGCAAGTTTTATGGCGCTTTAATTGTCGACGCCAATTGGAATAGGAGTTTTAGAAGAACATACGATTTTGTTCATTAGTCTCCGAATCCAAATGACTTACATCGACAAAGGCTAAGAGTTCGGTATTCAGATTTGCAGCTGGATTGAGTTGTTGAAATCTGTTTCTTGGAATTTCAAGACATTGGTGATGAACCAAGCATGAACATATAAGCACTTGTGGAAATGCGGTCATCCAAATCCGCTGCATAGTTGGTGTCAGAGTATCCTTGTAGCTTTGTTTCCTCTCCATTGGCATAAAAAATGCCAAAAGAAGTATAACGCTTTATGTAGCGGAGTATACCCTTGACTACGGTCAGATGAAGCTCTTAAGTCTTTTGCATATATCAACTGGCCAGATTCGTGGCATAAGCAATGTCGGATCTTCTGCGAGTGGTATACAATAGTTTGCGTACAAGTTGTTTGTATAAGATGACATTGACAGAAGCGCTTCCGGTTTTTTGGCGTAGCTGAATGCCTTCATTAGGTGGGATGAAAGTTGGGCGGCAGTCATTGTAGGAGAATTAAGCTAATATAGATAGCACATACGGAGCTTGATGCAGCAATAGTCCTTCCAAAGTGTGTACAAAGTGAACATCTAAGTACTTGGAGATTGTAACTAGAACATTCATGGCAAATTCCTTCATGAGTGCGGCAGCAAAATCATGAATGAGTTGTGGAGGACTTCTTGTGAGATAGAGCTCATCCACGTACAAGATCAATTGGAGAATGTCACCTTGGTTAAGTACGAGATAGAGGTTTGAATCAATTTGACTTCGTACAAGTACTTTGTTGCACAGTGCAATATCAATGTGAAGGTGCCATGCTTGTGGACTCTTACGTAAACCATAAAGAGTTCGTTTCAACCTGCAAACGTTGTGCTCGCGTCCTAGAGAGATGAAACCAAGTGGTTGCTGCATGTAAACTTCCTCCTTGAGTAAGCGATTGAGAAAAGCAATTTGAACATCAAGATGACTTATCGACCAGTTTCGATGGGCAGCAAATGCAAAGATAATGCAAATAGTTTCCCAATGTACAACAAGGGCAAAAGTATCATCATAATCAATGCCATGTTGTTGTTGAAATCCACAAGCAACTAGTATTGCCTTGTGTCAGGGTGGCTGATCAGATAAATTGAGCTTGAGCTTGTAGATCCAACGACCAGTGATTGCTCGCTTGCCAGGTGGAAAAGTCATGAGATCCCAAGAGTTTTCACAAAGAATTAATGAATATTGTGCTTCCATAGATGCAATCTAGTTTGCATCATTACAAACGTCATGATACTATAAGTTTTCACCATCTTCTGGTAGCAGATCAGTATTGACATTGGCTTCGACAATGTAATAACCCACTAAAGGCTAAAACTGCAATATAGTGGTAGAAAGGTCGAACCCACAGGGACAGAGGAACACACAGGGTACAAAGTGTCACGTTTTAACAGACTATTGAGGAGTTTGAATTCTCAGGCAACTGTCACTCCCAGAAATACTGCAAGTGTCCACTCGGAGCGCACTCGGAGGTCGCACAGTGCAGCGTAACACACACACACACACACACCTGAAACTACAGAAACACAACCCAGAGATCCGTTAGGGCCTCTACTTCAAGATTTCAGGGGGAAAGTCTCCCAAGAGTACACTCGGCAAAGCTGCGGGCAGTGACTTCCAACTCCGGCTTTTACAACACTTCCACTAGCTTGCGGCTAGTGTAGGAAACCCGGTTTGGACTGCCTACTTCGGATCGAAGTCACTCCTACGCGGTGAACAACACTCTCAACTCACAAAACGCGCAGAGAACACAGGTCCGCACTGGAGGACTCACTGAGAAACATTCCAGTAACACAACAACAGTCTATTGAAGAGTTTGAATTCTCAGGCACTTGTCATTCCCAGAAATACTACAGGGGTTACCCTCAAGGCACCTGCTGCAGCGTAACCTGAATTTACAACCAAGGCTTACACGAAGTAGCAAAACTTCACTTTGGCATTCAGGGGAAAAATCCCAAGGAGTACAATCAGAAAGAAACACTCGAAGGTGTAGGGGCGAAACTGTTCAAGTATCTAACTAGTCACTGGCTCTGAGCATCGGCAGTCACCCGCAGGTGCAGATCCGAACTACTCAAGTCTCTAACCAATGTACTAGCTCTGAACATTCGGCCGAAGGCCTTCAGCTACAAAATGCGGAACGCTAAGTTGTAACTCCTCGTGCGTGGTGACAGAACTCAAGGACACAAACACGCAAAGGAAATGGGTTCCTGATCTATACTTCTGATGGGAAATAACCCCAGGCAAAACGCCTGGAACTATTTTATACCTTCTAAGTCCTACCTAACACTACACTGCACTACGCTACACGCCTGCACGGAACCACGCTACACTACACTCCGCGGAACCTGTACTACGTCTCCTGCGCGGCCGACTGCCGCGCACTAACTCCCTACCCTGCCAATCTTCCGCTCGACTGCGCAGTCCCAACCGCTGCAACGCCGCGGACACCTCCCCTTCGAGGGCGGACATGGTATCCTGTGCCTTCGACAGAAAGGCCTCGAGCTTCTTCGCTACCTTCCGCCGACTCCTACTGTCGCCTGACAACAACCCGGCTGCGCGCAGTTCAAACTCACGCAGTGTGAGTTTCTCCTGCGCCTTCACTTCCCAGTGGGCGTAGCCCTTGAGACAGTGGGCGACTCG